ACTGACGCTCATCTACGAAACCGTAGTTACCACGCTACCGGTTATTGCACGTGAGACAGTCGTAATCAATGCTAATCAGCCTGTACAAGGCCGGAAGCGAATGCTAAAAAACGACGTTAAGAGAAGCAACGAAGCCGCGAGGTTTCAAGGACACAATCTCTGCGTGCGTGTGCGTTGCGCGTGCGTGAGCTCGATGCAAATCACCACCGGAGCCACTCGACAATTACGTATATGACTTCCGCGTATTCGCTTTCCCTTTTCCAATGCACGCTGCTTCAGACAAATTCTTGGCTGACTTAGTGGTCGGTATCAACCTTGCCCTTGCGTTCGTATATATAGACAAACGTCACGAGTATTCAAAGCAACGCGGCCCTCGTCAAAGTCATCAGAAAAACGGCTTAGTATTTTCTCCATGACAACATCCGCATACAAACGTGTAAGGCCTACACAAAGGACATTCTGCGTCTCTGTATGATCTTTCTTATTCGTTGGCTGTGAACTTGTCACTTCCTCCGTAAGCAATTCACCAGTGGGCTTGAAGCTGTGATAAAGAACAATCAATCGTCACCCATATCTCATTGCACAGAATGATACGGTAGTGACTAAAACTGTAGTTGGTATACCATGACTATTTTGACCTTAACGAGTGAGAAGCAAAGCGCAGCCAGAAATTGGTTGGGGGGAAAAGGGGGGGTTACACCGCACGTCATGTATGTTCGTGAGTACGTTTGTACGTGGACGTGTATATTTGCCTCCTCCCCGGGTTGCTGTTAGATCTGGCAATACTGCCTGTTCTAAAATATGAAGCTACCATTGGTTACCTAAATACGCTACCTCTGGTTATCGTTACAACGGGCTTACTGCCAGTTGTAACAATAATTATGCTAAGGGCGTATGTCAGAACTGGCATACTACGAGTTCTAACATTCGGGGCGGGAACAATGAGGATAACAAATCAACTAGAGAAAAAGATGAGGGGCACGCAGCGCGAAATGTAAAGTAAAACAGTAGCAAAAACTAGCAGTGGCGTAGCTCGGCTTTGTCACGATATACGTAGCGTGAACTACGAACGAACATACCGACAGACTGATGGACAGACTCACGAACGAACAGATGGACGCATGGGCGCACGTACGGACGGATAGATGAATGAAGGGACGGGCAGATGGACGGAAAAACTAGTGAGCGAGCTCCCGTCACTCCTGGAGCTTCCAGGCCTTCTTCGCGGCGCCAGCTGTGCGCCGTGTGGTGTCGCTACCGCTAGGAGATGTGCAGCACGACTCTCGATGAGCCACGTGCAACCACTCAACACCGGCCAGTGTAGCTTACGCTACAATAAGATGAAGAGATAGGAGGATGGCAGAATGGGTCAGAAAACAGACAGGAGTAGCGGATAGGCCAGTTGACATCAAGCGATGGGGGGCCTGGACTGGGCACGTAATGCGTACGACCGAAAACCGCTTGACAGTAGGGGTCACAGAATGGTTACCATAAGATGACGAAAGCAGTCGAGGAAGGCAGAGCATCAGATGCAGTGACCGAATTGGGCATTGTTTGAAACTTATAGAGCGAATAAAAGTATTTAAAAATCTTATATATGGGATTATATACTTGGTGAATAATGGTTGCAACAACGTTCATAATAATTATCAACTTTGTTTTTAAAACGAGTTTCGTTTCTCTCCGACAATCGCAGCTACATTTTTGGTTATTGAACTCCTGGGACATCCGGTGTTAAAACCTCAGAAGAAAATAAAAAGAAACGCTGATAGCCCGAAGGCTTCAGACGTCGGCAGACACGGCGTCAATTGAAAACATGGTATCGCTTCTTCAATCACTGAGTCGGGATTCACAGCAATCTCAGATAGCCCTGCGACCACGAAGTCTTGCTTCCCGAAGGTCAAACAAGCGATGGCAGAAGCGGGGCAGCGCCCTCGAATTACGGCAGCCGTTAATGCATTCCCACCCGTTCGTAGAACCGAACGCCGTCAACGGTCTGTAAACAGGTTCTCAGTAGCGGCTCCTTCATGCTTCGTTGACGGTAAGTTTCAATCTTTTTTCCGTTTTATTACTTGTAGATTCTACCCAATTTTTCTGTTTTAATATTTGTGAGATTCTATCCTAAATTCGCACGCTGATTAGTCGGAACAGCGTATTTAACTCGACAAGGCTTTCCGTTGATGAAGTTGGTTTGTAACTTGAAGAAATGAGTAAGGCGCAAACAGGTTGGGGACGAAATGAAGGGAATTGACAAACACGAATGTCCAACTCCAACTGTTTATTAGCAGAACCGCGCTGATTTGTTCATGCTTCCGACAAAGTATTTTTATAACATGCATAGCACTCAGTGATGAACTAAGGAGTACTCAAAAGGCAGTGGTAGAACGCAGTCGAAAGACACGCACAGCAAAGAGCAATGATTTTAATTCCCGTCTCCCACATCGGCAAATAAACCCTTTTCGGAGACTGAGCAGCGACTGCCCTTGTGAATAAAGTGGATGGATCATTTCACAACACATTGGGGGCTGTTGTTCGTGCACCATTTTAAAACAAGGAACACATCACCCCCAAATTTATACGGGTGCTTTCCTCCAGCAAGTGTGAAGGGGGGTCATGTCATTTAAAACTCGTTTTAGTGGCGGAGCTGCTTACACCGTGGGTGGTACGTCCCGTACTCGTAGTAGTAGCTATCTCTCATTTAATCCTGGATGGCGGTACTTGTATCATGGTTGTATATGATGACTATATGATGAAAAGATGCGAGATGGCGGTACTTGGAGTGTCAGCAAATGGACGAACGGACAGACAGACGGATGGACGAACACATGGACGGAGGGACAGAGAGACAGACAGACAGACAGATGGGCGGTCGAATGGGCGGAAGTACGCATGAACGGACGGACGCATGGACGGGCACGCGGAAGGACGGGTGCCATGAACGTTTTGCCCCGTTCATTATCATCCACTCCGTGGATATGCTGTAACTTTTTTTCTTCGCTAACCCGTCACTTTCGTATTCATTTTTATTGTTTCGATTGGACCGCCTCGCTATGACTTGGCTCTTGTAGTAAGCAGTGGAAAAGACGACATTTGTGCGAAGAACTCGCTGTTGCAGAGCACAGGCGTTTTGTTGAGATCAGGGCTGTTTTCAGATATCTTACAGCTGAGCTGTGTGAGAGAGAGAGAAAACATTAATAAAAATATATAACAGGCATAGGGAGGTACGAAGGTCATAGAGCTCATTTTTCAAGGTTGGTGAGGTTATACACGAAGTAGTGTATCGAAAATCACTTGAAATCGCCTTACCGAAAGGCTGGGAACTACTGGTCCACTTGTAAAGGCCCTGCTCGGCGGAGAGCAAAGGGGTCTGTGTACACAGTGTGTTGTTCGGCGCCCCTACCGTCCAAACACCAAGAACTTTAAGATGTACACTCCCTTTCGATGTACACTCACGTGTGCACTCGGGCGGGACACGTGACTGATTTCGAAAAACCCGATGCACCGCCGCGCTGACTTGCCGGTGCGGTCTCCCTCGCCAGCGCCTGCTGTGCAAGCCACAACTGGTCTCGGAAAAAGAGCTCCCGCGAGCGATTTCGAATGGTTTCACGAAGGCAGCGCCGCGGAGAAGCAATTGAGGTAGCGATCGCGAAGGAATTGTTGCCAACAGCGCGATTGCGTGGTACGGGCAGGCAGCGTGTCCTCGTAAGATGCGGCAACCCTCGTCGCCGTCTAGCAACGCACGGGCAGTTTGAAATGCCTTCGGACGCCGCTGCTCCAAGAAAAGGTGTCGTAATACGCTCCCGACAGGCAGGCGGCTTTGCAGCGGACAGTTCCTGAAAGGTGCGTATTTTCCCGGAACGTGCGATGCATTCACGTAACGCGTATAACTGAGCGCCCACGCCGGTTTCGCCGGAGACAATTTGCTGCAAATACGATAGCAGTTAAGAACATCAATGAACATGAGCCAAGTACGCAGTCTTTCAGTCTGCAATTTAAATGTGTAAATGATAGGCTTTTGCCGGTGCCGTCTTTGATCATCGTTGTTTCTTACAGAGCGACATAGGTGTCCTGTCAATAATTTTATTTTAATAATTACCATGATCCCCTGAATAACCATAGGATTATTGCTAAATCAGTTTGATTATTGGCGTGCTAGATGAGCTTTTTAGTGACGGTAGGCATACCCGCTGAAGTATCGCGGCTGGCGCAATTTTTGTGGCCCCGCCGCGGTGGTCTAGTGGCTAAGGTACTCGCCTGCTGACCCGCAGGTCACGGGATCGAATCCCTGCTGCGGCGGCTTCATTTCCGATGGAGGCGGAAGTGTTGTAGGCCCGTGTGTTCAGATTTGCGTGCACGTTAAAGAACCGCAGGTGGTTGAAATTTCCGGAGCCCTCCACTACGGCGTCTCTCATAATCATATAGTGGTTTTGGGACGTTAAACCCCACATATCAATCAATCAATGTGCGAAAAACTCGCTGTCGCAGGGCACAGGCGTTTTGTTCAGACCAGGACTGTTCTCAGATATCTTAAAGCTGAGCTGTGTGTGAGAGAGAAAAAAAGAATAAATAACATAGCAGGCATAGGGAGGTGCGAATGTCATTGAGCTCATTATTCAAGGTTAGCGCGGTTAGACACGAAGTAGTCTATTCAAAATCACTTGAGATCGCCTTACCTAAGGGCCGAGAACTACTAGTCCGCTTGTAAAGGCCCTGCTTGGTGGAGAGTAAGGGGTCTGTGTACGCAGTGTGTTGTTCGGCGCCCCTCCCGTCCAAACCCCAAGAACTTTTCGATGTACACTCCCTTTCGATGTACACTCACGTGTGCACTCGGGCGGGACACGTGACTGCTTTCGGAAAACCCGATTCACCGCCGCGTTGACTTGCCGGTGCGGTCTCCCTCGCCAGCGCCCGCTGTGCAAGCCACAACTGGTCTCGGAAAAAGAGCTCCCGCGAGCGATTTCGAATGGTTTCACGAAGGCAGCGCCGCGGAGTATAGCAATTGAGGTAGCGATCGCGAAGGAATTGTTGCCAACAGCGCGATTGCGTGGTACGTGCAGGCAGCGTGTCCTCGTAAGATGCGGCAACCGTCGTCGCCGTCTAGCAACGCACGGGCAGTTTGAAATGCCTTCGGACGCCGCTGCTCCAAGAAAAGGTGTCGTAATACGCTCCCGACAGGCAGGCGGCTTTGCAGCGGACAGTTCCTGAAAGGTGCGTATTTTCCCGGAACATGCGATGCATTCGCGTAATGCGTATAACTGAGCGCCCACGCCCGTTTTGCTGGAGACAATTTGCTGCAAATACGATAGCAGTTAAGAACACCAATGAACATGAGCCAAGTACGCAGTCTTTCAGTCTGCAATTTAAATGTGTAAATCATAGGCTTTTGCCGGTGCCATCTTTGATCATCGTTGTTTCTTACAGAGCGGCATAGGTGTTCTGTCAATAATTTTATTATAATAATTACCATGGTCCCCTGAATAACCATAGGTATATTGCTAAATCAGTTTGATTATTGGCCTGCTAGATGAGCTTTTTAGTGACGGTAGGCATACCCGCTGAAGTAGCGCGGCTGGCGCAATTTTTGTGGCCCCGCCATGGTGGTCTAGTGGCTAAGGTACACGGCTGCTGACCCGTAGGTCACGGGATCGAATCCCGGCTGCGGCGGCTGCATTTCTGATGAAGGAGGAAATGTTGTAGGCCCGTGTGCTCAGATTTGCGTGCACGTTAAAGAACCGCAGGTGGTCGAAATTTCCGGAGCCCTCCACTACGGCGCCTCTCATAATCATATGCTGGTTTTGGGACGTTAAACCCCACAAATCAATCAAATCAATCAATCATCAATCAATTTTCGTGGTACGTGGGCACAGTTAGTTTTTGTGTTATCATGGAATTTCGGTTTCGCTTAGCCGTATTCAGCTTTTTGTGCAGCCATTTTGCGCATGACACTCAAGACTCTTTATCTAAGTTGTGCAACCCACTCCACGTTTCTTTCATAGCACGAGGATCAAGTTGGGTGAAGTGCGGCCACACCTCGAGGAAACTTTGAAAAGCATCGTCCACCATGAGGGTCTCCTGGATACTCTTCGTCTCCCTAACTGCCGTGATGTGGTACCTGTGGCCGCGACTTCCTCTGCTTCCGGGCGTGGCCCATGCACTCGGTTCTCTGTTTGTGATGGCGTGGGCGAGTTACTTTCTCGCAAAATTCACCTGGGGAGTCGCTCGCGTCAGCCTGGTGAGTGGACACGGGAAAGCTGTGCTCATTACAGGTGAGTAACTGGTTTTGAATGGACGAATAACATTACTGAGGTCCTTGAGTGCACGCGACTATAGCGCACAGCGGACCACTCCCAGGTCGGGACACACAGAGCTTGCCCCTATGACGCATTGCGGGCCACATGGACGGCCCGGAAAGTGATGATGTTCTTACGAAACACCACTTTGCTCGAAGTAAGAAGCTTCGTTGTGAAACAATAGGACGATGAACAAGGTGGACGCTATACTATCGCTGGTGGCTTAGTAGTGACTTAGTTCTGGATTAGTTGTGGCGTCTGTGGCTTTGTTGAGACTTGGTTGTATAGTTGCGGATGAAATGCAACCAATCTGTAGCTCAGCAGTGACTTAGCGTTTGTGGCGTAGCCAGGAAAGGATAAGCTACAACTGACCCCACTACTGCGGACTAAACTCTGCAGCAGTAACTTGCGATGCTGTACTGGTGGGGTTTCTGCATGTGCTGTGTAGCGTTGGTGTGAGTGAAGTTCTGCCTTTGTACAACTTTGTTCCCGATTCCCAATAAATGCGTTAGGCCACAGCCACATTAAATACCTCAATTATTATTTGGCTTAAATCAGCCGCTGGCATGTGAACCCCGAGAGGTGGAGCTTTTACGCATGAGTGCCTTAAACTTGTTTCTCTCGCTGTTATGCTCTTCTTCCGCGTCAGCTGTTACACGGTGCTAGGTTGTCTCAAAGGCTACAGCTACAGCTTGGTTTAATACCCCCCCCCCCCCCCCGTTTTCCCGGCCAGTTTCTGCTGACCCTTCCAAGTTTTCCTTGCCAGCACATAAAGAACTTGCTAGTTTGTTTCAATACTACTTATTTGCTTGTTCGGTATGAAACATTCAGATGACTTAGCAATGTTAGAACTGCAGTAAAGCAAACAAAAAAATCTGGGCCCCTCAACAATTCTTTAAAATATGGAGAACAAGCACCTTATTATCTTCCAGCATTTCCCGTATTTCTGGAAATATTCGTGACGCCAGCAGTTTGTTCCTGCGACGGGAAGTTGTAACAAGCTCTCAATTGGGATATATATGAGGGATAGCTAATTTTAATTGTCTCAAACACTCCATCTTCGTTATGCCTTCTCCCGTACGACCACCGGGCCCGATAAACTGATTTCACTTTTCTTTCCGCGTTTGAAACTGCACGAGTGGAGATAGCGGTTTGTGGTAGAAAAAAAAAAGAACACACGAAATGCTGATAGGCCCCACGCTTATTGCTGTCTTTCCAAGTGCCTTGAAAATAAGTGCCAAGAAGGACACATCACTTGTATGATAGGTAGAAGAGGCTAGAAAGGAACTTTCTCGCCTTTGAACTCGATGGGGATTCACCCTCGCCATCAACCTGACCACACCCACAGCAGGACAGTGTCCTCTCACAAGATCCACCAATCTACCTGGTCCTGTGCTGCATGCTGCCACGTTACACATGCAAGCTTCTTAATCTTATCATTATCATCAGCCTGACTACATCCATTGCAGGACAAGGCCTCTTCTATGTTCCATGTTTTTTTTTATGGATGAAGCGCAATAAAGGTAGACAATAGACAAAGGGGACAACGAGGACAAGCGTCAACTTTAGCATTTCAAAATTTCAAAGCACCAAAAGTATATACCTGTCGCAAGACACCACAATATCCTCGTTCATTGCACAAAGATGAAGACAAAATAAAACTAAGCAGCAGGGAATTTAACACAGAAAAACCACGTGCCGGTAAATTGAAGTAATCTAGTTGGTTTTCTTGTAGTGCGATGGATGACTTGCTTTTGCAGCTTCGATTCGCTATCACCGCTGCCGCAATGATGATGTCTTGTGACGGGTATATATTCTTGGTGCTTTGCCATAAAATTTCAGTTGGACGTTAGCACTTGTCCTTAATCGCCTTTGCCCGTTGTCTATCTTTTTTTGTCCTTCAGTTAAAAAAAAACATGGCATACAAGCTTTCGCTTCCACACCTTGTCCCGTGTACCGCCAGTCAACTCGGTCCTGTACTTGCTGCTACGATTTAATACACGAAAACTTTTAATCTCATCTGCCCACCTAACTTTCTGTTTCCCACTTTCCCGCTATCCTTCTCTTGAAATTCAGTCTGTGATCCTTGATGACCAGTGGTTATCTTGCCTTCGATCTACGTGCCTTGCGAATGACTATTTGTTCTTCTTCATTTCGACTATGAGGTCTCTTCTTTGTAGGTAAGTAGCAGTAAGATGCATCTGTTATGTACGTTCCTCTTGAGGTATAGTGGCACATTACCATTCATGATTGGAATATGCTTGACGAATGTGCTCCGCCCCATTCCTATTATTCTAGTTACTTTCATCTCGCTGTTCGGCTCCCTGATTGCTATCCGTCCTAAGTACACATACCCTTTTACTACTTTGCGTGCACTGTTTAGAAAAATTATTTACAGCATGTACAGAACACAAAGGCTTCATACCATTCCAGTAACAGGGCATATACACTTCGGCACATCTATATTTCACGACTAACATCACTGCTACTTATCTAGAAGCGCTGCCCTCTTCTGAGATTGTTGTACATTACTTTCGTTTTCTGCATATTAATTTTAAGACCCACCTTTCTGCTCTGCTTGAGTAACTGAGTAATCATCAATTACAATTTGTCCCCTGAGTTACTCAGCAATGCACTGTCATCAGCGAATTTATTTATTTATCTATTTTTTATTTATTTATGATACCTCAAAGGCCCCTAAAGGAAGGGCTCTTACATGAGGGGTGGGCATATCTACAAAAGCAGCTCTTCTATGATGCGTTTCAAGATGGCTTGGTCAGAATCAAGTACTGCCTTGGTGGGAAGGTCATTCCAGTCCCTTGATGTCCTGCTCGAAGAATGAGGAGGCATGGGAGACACAAGTTACTAAGATACTCTCCAATAACTCTTATCACTAACTCTTCCCAATCTAAAGCCCTGAATACCTCATGTAAACCAGGCGTGAATAATACTGAGATGTCGGGTCGCCCTGCTTTGTTCCCTTCTTTATTAGTATTCTGTCGCTTTTTTTATGGAGCACCATGGTGGCAGGTGATCCTCTGTAGATTTCGTCCAGGATATTTATATATGCTTCGCCTACGCCCTGATTCCACAGTGTCTGCATGGCTGTCGATATTTTTGCTGAATCAAATGCCTCCTCATAATCTTTGAAGGCTATGTATAGTGGTCGGGTACATTCTAAGCATTGATCTATCCCCCGAATAATAGTGTAAATGCGGTCTATTTTCGAGCAGCTTGTTAAAAATCCTGCTTGATCTCTGGGTTGATTGAATTCTAATGTTGTCTTAATTATGTTAGCAATTACCTTTCTAAATATTTTGTACACAATGGAGAGCAAGGTGATCGACCCGTATAATTCTTTAAGTTCTTGTCGTCTCCTCCGTTGTCGGTGAAGATGATGTTAGCAATCTTTAAGTATTCTGGTACCCTCCTCATCAGGAGGGTGCCACCTTGTCGTAATGTTGACATAGTTTTCTATATCCCCCTCACACGTGTGTGCTCTTGGGATACAGTCAGTTACCGTAAATGACCAACCAGACCAACAGGGTTGCCAAGCCACCTGTTCGCTCATGAAATTGGTGACGACTTGACAGTGCGCACTACAGCTTTGCTACTGCCTATTCCATGCACTCCATTGTTCGCTTTTCACTTGACGTCGATAGTACGAGATGGAGATGTTGCCATCACGTGTGGTGGCGCGCCCTTAGGCACACATCCCCCTTCATTATGCAGGCTGTGACACAGGCTTCGGACACATGCTGGCTAAGTACCTGGCCAGGGACGGCTTCCTCGTCTTCGCCGGGTGCCTCGACGTCAACGGCGAAGGCGCCATGTCACTCAGGAGGCAGGCGAACGTCAAGGTCCTGCAGATGGACGTCACGAAGGACGTCGAGGTTGACGAGACGCACCGCGTCATCAAAGAGGAGCTCGGAAGTCGAAGTAAGTGATCTCTCGTTACGTAATCAGTGTATCATCTTTGACGTCGACACTGAATACGCCCTGCTGGAAATCGTTCTCGCGCGTCGCAGGAAGATGATGATAACAAAAAGATCTTGCGCACGAGCAGTAGAATGTGGGCGGTTGGCTTGTGACGGTTTTGTTCGCCATGTTGACAGTACTTGGCCCTGTGCACCAATAAACCCGACAGAGGTGTCTTTTTCCAACATTCCTGGAAGGTATTTCGTAGACTGTTTCTGTCTGCAACAGTAACAGGTCAAGGAGCTACGATCTGGCGACATTGCACACACGAAGAAATCAAGAAAAACTTGAAGAACTCTTTAGCTTAGCCTGAAAGGGTAGAACGCGCTGTCATAAACGGGCAAAGGAACCATGTAATACAGAGGGAAACTATGTCGCTAGGAAAAGAGTGTTTGCGCACGCAACAATGGCGTTTCAAGCTATCCCACAATGCGTACTGCAAGTACAGTTGCTTAGTGCATCCACCGTGGTGGTGTTGTGGTTACGATTCTCGGCTACTGAACCGAAGGTCGTGGGTTCGATTCCGGCTGCGGCGGTCGCATTTAGATGGAGGCAATATAGTAGAGGCCCATGTACTTCAAGAACACCAGATTGTCGAAATTCTCGGATCCCTTCACTATACAGCGTCTCCCATAATCATATCGTGGTTATGGACGTTGAACCCGAAATATTATTATTAGTTGCTAAGTGCCCACTGAGTCATAGTTCTATCTTTCACAAATTGTCCAAATACCCACAACGCGTCTGTAACGTACCACGCGCCCCTGCGCTGCTGCACAAAATTTATTATTTTTATTTACGCATACTGCAGTGCTGATTGCGCAATGGTAGGAGTAGGTATACAATGATACACACAAATATAACTAAAAACAAGGATGTTAATGCAAACAGGTAACATAATAACGTAGTGTGCACGGACATAAGGGCAAAAATATTGGGAAACAAAAAAAGTAACAAACAAATAGCATGTACAAACAGAGCAGCGTATTTCACACATACGTGTTGTGGATTTCGGCTGCAGAACTCTACGATGCGCATGAACGAACAGAACCAGGTAATGAATTCGTTATCGATGGACTTGATAGTGGGTGGGCAGCTTTGAACAAAGCACCTTCAGCGCAGCTGTTGTGACCCCTTATTTCATTCAACGATTCTGCAAAGCAACACTGCCTTCAAAACGGAGACCATTCTCGCCACATGACATTTTTGGAACGTTCTTTCGAAGAAGTGGTTTGAAACGTTGGCGTGGCTATCTGGTGGCACCCCAGTTTGCCACGCGAGAGGTCTGGGTTAATAGTAATAAGGGCTGCAGCGCGAGCACGAATGTGCTAGAAGAAACAGACAAAGTCGAGGTACGGAAGGCAAAAGAGGACAACACGAGCGCTGCCTCTTTTGCCTTCCGTACCTCGACTTTGTCTGTTTCTTCTAGCACATTCGTGCTCGCGCTGCAGCCCTTATTACTATGAATTCAAACCAACTAGCCCAAATCGCCATTCTTCTTCAGGTCTGGGTTAGATTGCCACTGGGATGAAAAATTGTTAAAATTTTTTCTATTTACTCGCAACTGTCCCGAACTTTTAGCTCATGGTCAAAGGTTATTTTTCTCCCACAAGCAACGACGCCAACACAGATGCTGGAATTTCTGCGAAACTAGCCATTAAAAACAATCGCGCCATCAGATAGTGGCATTGCCTCAGCTAACGTGGCAAAAGAGGTCCACTGAAAGTAATAAAATCAATGCTATAAAGATCCAGTATAATAAATATACAATAAATAAATAAATAAATAAATAAATAAATAACTTAAATAAGTAAACAAATAAACAATGTCAATAAATAAATACAACGATAAAGAGCTAATAACGCTACTAAGAATACAGCCTACCTAAAGTAAAATAGCGCTATCGGTGTACAGTCGTCAGTAGTATAAAATAAAGAGTTTTGTGGGGCAGATTACTGTTGATTTACTGACAAGACTGTCACGTACTGATTTGCAAAAGGATTTTTTCCCCTTTTGCATTTAGCGTCGCGAGAACATTCGAGTTTTCCAGCCGTGTTTATCGACTAAATGGTCTCTTGACAGCAGTTTCGGCGTTGTCGTATTGCTGCCGACTGGCCTGCGCTAGCATCTCTTTTACGCACATGTTTTGGTTGTTACGCCCAAGCAGGATGAAGGAAGCGCAGGGCGCCACGCTTCGGTGCCGGTCAAGCGGCGTAGAAGGCGGGCGATGCTTCGAAGTGGACCGCCGTACACTTCCTCGATGAAGTGAACGCGAGTAGGAAAAGAAATAAGCCCGTACTTTCCCGTAGGTTCTTGCCGCCAATCTGACTTGACCGTCAATACTCGTAATAAGGGCTGCAGCGCGAGCACGAATGTGCTAGAAGAAACAGACGAAAGGCGAGGCACGCGTTGTCCTCTTTGCTTTCCGTGCCTCGCCTTTCGTCTGTTTCTTCTAGCACATTCGTGCTCGCGCTGCAGCCCTTATTACCATGAATTCAAACCAACTAGCCCAAATAGCCATACTTCGTCAATACCTGTCGCGGCTGCGTGGAGTGTTTCATGCATAGGAGATCATCGGCGGACCATAAGCGCTCATTCTGGTTTTAGTTGAAAATTTTCTCACTTGCGCTTTTACCGAACACTTACAAATACTTAACCACATCTACTTAGAATGGCACAAACAACGTTTCCAAGGTCAGTTATTTCAAACGTATATAGACGTCATACGCAGACGTCATCTTAGTCACCTTGCCGATAACGTAATCCGGGTCAATCGCGGTGGAACAGTTGCGATGCTCGGCTGCTGAAACGAAGGTCGCGGGTGCGACCTCAGCCGCGGGTGTCACATTTCACTGGAGGAGAAATGTCAGAGATCTCCGTACTGTGCTATGTCAGTGCACGGTGAAGAACACCATATGGTCGAAATTCCCGGAGCTCTCCTCTTCGGTATCTTTCGCGATCATCGCGTGACTTTGGGACGTAAAGCCCCAGTTATCGAAATTATAGTATTACGTACATCCACTTATTCATGGCAGTCCCCTGTGAGCCGGGAAAATAGAAAGTGCAGTATGGGAGAGCGTGATCAAGCGTTAACGTTCTTGACGAAGTATTCATTTTTGAGCTATAGAATGGGATGGTGTGCGACCAAAGTACACAGCAGGTTGCTGAGAAAACCTTACAATCCTCGCAGGACTTTGGGTTGCCATATCTTGGTCACCGTATATTACTTAAACCGTGTCATGGTGAAACGCTTCACATATTCAAATATGTGTACCCAGTTATATGCGACAAAACAAAGTGTAGACCCGCCGCGGTGGTCAAGTGGCTAAGGTACTCGGCTGCTGACCCGCAGGTCGCGGGATCGAATCCCGGCTGTGGCGGCTGCGGCGGCTGCGGCGGCTGCACTTACGATGGAGGTGGAAATGTTGTAGGCCCGTGTGCCCAGATTTGGGTGCACGTTAAAAAACCCCGGGTGGTCGAAATTTCCGAAGCCCGCCACTACGGCGTCTCCCATGATCATATGGTGATTTTGGGACGTTAAACCCCACATATCAATGAATGAATGATGAATGAATGAATGAATCAATCAATCAATCAATCAATCAATCAATCAATCAATCAATCAATCAATCAATCAATCAAAACAAAATGTAATTAGTGAAAATGACAGCACAAGTAGGGTACGTCATGTTGAGAGAATACACTTGGAAAAGTGACTGCTAAACTAAAAAAGAAAAAAAGAATAAAAAAACTTGTACGTTGAAATCTAACTTTCGAAATTCTCAGGGGCATTAACAATGAAAACGTATTATCCGAGAATCGCATTATCTAAAATAGGGGCCGATAGCTTACAAACTGTACGTATGTCACGCTGAACTTATGTGAAAAGGAACTTCAACGAAGCTCGTCACTTCGCGCTGAACCTTTTGTTTTTCGATGTCCCGTGGCAAGCTTCTTTTGGAACTCGTACTCGTCAATAGCTCTTTAATCCTTGAAATTCTCACCTGGAACAAGACTGCTAAACGTGTCTGAGGCCTTGAGCACATAGTCAGTAGTTATTGGTCGACGATCACCGGTGTAACCTCCCGCCTTTACACTGCGGCCACCGCACTCTAGCACTAGACCGCTTTGACGGGCCAGCGCCATGCGGACATAGTGCCTTTCATTTCATTTCATTTATTTCGCCCTTAAAGGCCCGAAGGCATTACATAAGGGGGGACAAGTAACAAGATAGGGTACAATGTTCAATGAATAAATAAATGAGTAAAAGCAAATAAGTTTACACAGGAGACATGAATCAGAAATCACACGAACGAACTAGAACAAAATAAAAAAGAATACACAATGCTTTACATATGTTAAACAATTGCAGAGCAAAACTAAGTACAATTCTAAAACGATTGGCGATAAACACGAAGTAGTTGAGATTATCAGTAGAGAGGCTTGAAAAAATGTTCGTTCAGTTTTGCGCGGAACGTTTCCCTGTCGGCGCATGAAGCGGAGTCATCGGGTAAGGCATTCCAGAGGGCTATTGCATTAGGAAAAAATGAGGTGATAAATGCTGTCGTCCGGCCATTTATGCGTGCAATGGGCCTGCTGTGATTTTCGCGCGATGAAGTTCTGTGAGCAGATTGGAGCAACTGATGTCTTGAGCGTGGATGATAGTAGAAGCGGTGTAGAAGGTATAGACGGGTGATCAAGCGGCGGGATTCAAGAGTTGGAAGGGAAAGAGAGTGTTTTAGCTCGGTAACGCTGGTTTTGTGTGAGTATTGCGAAGATATGAAGCGAGCTGCGCGATTTTGGATGGACTCTAATTTTGGATGGACTCTAAAACCATGAAAGATTTTGAGACGTCTTTGGGATCGTATAATTCAAGCCAATACGGAACTACGATTGTATTAACCATTCCAAAAAGCATTACCTCCATGGGACGTTAGCCGGGAACGGAGAAAAACAAAATAAAAAGAAACATGACTTATTCCTCTGTCTTAAGAAATCGGTATAACACGAATGGCAAACTTGTCTTCCCAGAGGCAGTTCACCAATTATGTACACATGAGTGAACTCATCTTCATAAGAAACAGACGTGTTGAGGGCTATTTTGCGCCTGTTGGATTGAATAATATCTAGAGGCGTTATCAGAGACATGGTGCTGTTTCACATGTGCGCATGAGTGTGTTTTTACATATGTGGACTCATTTGTTTCATTTTGCATGTACTGTTCTTTTTTTTTCAAAGGTGCATGTTCAATATTCCCTCAAAGGCTAAGGAGTCGCCGGCACCTTACTTGTGTACTGACATATTTTTATATAGCACGTAATAATGATAGAACAACAATTTGAAATGTCCTACGAAGAACGGCAAGCTGCTCGAAACACGCAGTGTGCTGCACAAGCAGAAAGAACTCACAAGGACGAACGCAAAGCCGACCCCTGTGACAGCTCGGCATTAGAGGGGCGCTGCTCAAGCACACACACACAAAGAATGCACGAAACGAACGCTAAAGTACACACGGGAGGAGCACGCACTAGCAACTGCCACAGTTACTACTTCTTCGATTGTGAGCAGCGCACTTCTTACGCAAATGTGGCCACTGCAGTGTGGCGGCGTTACCTTCGTGCTCTCTGTACGCTCTGAAAGTTGCGTGGAAAGTGCAACACGTACAAACCATAACCCACCTCCATCAAGATATATGCGCGCGTGCACGAGCGAAGCCATCCTGCAGAGGTGAGCGGGCATCGCAGCACGCGGGGTGATGACCTTAAAGTGCTCCCTTCAAGTCGTTCGCCTCATGGCGCTAGTGACAACGAGAACACGATGTGTCGCCGAGCTCCAAGTATACTACCAACGGTAAATAAGTAGTCACCGTAAATAGGTCATCATCATTACGGTAAGGAACTGACGGTCTGTAGCTGAATCGTTCCACGCAGCGCGCTGTGCGTCTAGAGGTCATACGATCGACTCCCGGTGATGGAACTGTTGCTTCTACTTTTTCTTTGCTATCTCTTACTGTTTATTTCACATATAATAATAATAATAATAATAATAATAATAATAATAATAATAATAATAATAATAATAATAATAATAATAATAATAATAATAATAATAATAATAATAATAATAATAATAATAATAATGTTATTTTTCATCACTAGTTTGATGAAGGACAGCCGCAGGTAAAAGCTGCTCTCCAAAAGAGGCAGCTTGACAAAGGACCAAAGCCACCTTTTAGCACGACAGCAGTGGTAAACAATCAGCGATGTGAAGTCAACAACAATAACAACAACACCAAATAGATAAATAAATAAAATATCCATGACGAAAATACGTCAACGAGCTCGTTACTTTTGCCGTACCCCTGCTGAGATTTGTCTCGAGGAGCGAGTAAGCGGGCAAAACGACTTCGCAGCCAGGCGATGCATCTAGATTCGAAGCATCTAGATGCATCGTAATCTAGATGCGAAGCAGCTTATCGCAGAGCTCTATTCGGTGTGCGAAACCACCCTTACTGTGCACGCGCAACAGCCGGCCCAAACACTAGCAGAATGCTCTCGTGCGATAACGCGTTCCGGCCTATCTAAGGGGCTGGATAAGACACTGTGGCCTCTCCCTCTTACACTCTCTCAGAAATCATGTGATAATATCGGGGAACAAGGTTTTGCAGACGTGAGATGAACCAACGCGTTGTGTCCTAGTCAGAACGCGCTTGCGCATGCTAGCGCGTTCGGCTGGCGTAAGTGGTCCTGTAAGAGGCTGTGGCCTCTCCCCCTCACTCTCAGCAATCATGGGGTGGCGTCGGAGAACGAGATTCTGCTGACGCGCGATAAACACACGTGCTTTGCGCGTCACATGGCGATGAAACCGCGTGACGTGGTTCAACAAGAGTTCGGGATGAAGTGCAGCAATAGAAACTGCAGTGAAGTTTCAGGATGGTTGGCTTCGGCTAAGGTTGCCACCTCGCAGTGTGTTAGGGCCTTCAAAAATTGCACTTCTGTTGAAAACACGCCGAAAGGAATGAAGTAAATGTAGCCACGACGGGTGACAGGAGCTGATCGCGGAGGCCACAATCTTGATGCATTAACTTTATCGCTCCCAGAGCCTGACGACATCCCGCCCTCCAAGATCACTGTGAGGTGAAAGTGTGAGATAAAAAAAAGACATGTGCTTGTCAAGCCTAAACAAGTGTGCGATCCATGGCGTAGTTGATAGCGTGGCCGCCATCCGTCGTGGCGCACCTAGAAGTCACGCGTTTGACTGCCATTGATGGAACGCCCTTTTCTTTGCCTCTGAGTGTGTGCATTTTTTCTAAGTCATTACCCTGACGGTTATACATCATAAAGTCGTGGTGGACGCTGGCATACAACACTTTAGTGCTAATAATATTATGTCGAAAAGCGTATTAGGTGGGATTGCACCAACGTGGTGCGCGGTGTAGAGAGGGTTGCTTAGACGATCTTACACGTTTCTCGCAGAGCTCTGGGCTGTGGTGTGCAACGCGGCCATAATGAATAACGGCCTTATTGAGTGGTTGACGATGGCAAGCATCACTCGAATCTTCGACGTCAATGTCTTCGGCGTGGTCAGGGTGGTGAAAAGGTTCCTGCCCATGCTTAAAGAGACCCATGGACGAGTCGTCATCGTCACCAGCAACCTTTGTGAGTGTTTCACTGATGCGAGAGTTCTTCGGTTGCAACTTATTAAGAAGTTAGCTTGTAGTAAACTACAGCATAAGAGTGAATACGAGCACTGCTGTTGGCTTGTACAACGAGGTCATGTTAGCTGGTTTCCGTTCTAACCACATTAGATTCCTTGCTGCTAAAGTGAACACCATGCATAATAAAAAAAAAGGACACTAAAGAGAAACAATGAATTGGTTTATATCGATAAATCGTATTCTCCACACGGGAATGCAATTGATTTCGCCATTACAGGCTTAGGCATAAGCGGAGAAAATGAAGGCGAAAGCGTCACCTTTAAATTCACAACTGAAAACTTAACGCTTGACGTCATGGATTTCAAAGTGTATTTTTTGCATCTTGGTGACATTGGCTCAACGAAATTTCAGGAAGCTTGATATGTTAGGCGCATAGCCTTGGAAGGGTACAATGTAGTTTATTTTTATCAATTAGAAACAACAAACGTCACAGCAGCAGCCGTCAAGCTCTATGACGTCACCGCGATGACATTCAATTTCGCGAGGACGTCAACACCCACGCTTTTTATTGCACATTTTTCCGCTTAGTATCGTCTCGCGGCTGGCATTGTGACGGTAATATGAAAGAGCAATTTACTGATTCCAGATGACTTTTTTTAATTTAGTGTGCCTTTAAGGGGACGATCCTGCAATCAATATTATGCAGCACTTCCGAAGTGTCTTCAGGCGGCTCTATAATGTTGCTGAAAAAACATGCGGATGTTTTGAAAGAAAGCAGTCAAACTTATTAAAAATACGAGGATTCGTACTTTTAGTGCATTTATTTTTTCGTTGAAAAAAAAAACAGAAAAGCGTGGGCGTCCATTAGGGAATAAGTAACATTCCATTTTTTAAATGCAATAGTAACACCCGTGAAGTTAAGTATAGATGCCCTTTCTAATCATCCCCAGCTTATGGCTCTCCCATAGTAGACCGTGTGTAGTGCTATAAAGCATTCCCAATTTATTCTAAACGCCATCGTCGAGCACCAATGTAGTCACCACGCATTCACATCCGATGAAATGCAGTGCCATCACATTTTACGGGTGGAGCTCCTTAAGGCGTGGGTCGGTCACCACCTGTATGTATGAATGTATGTATGTATGTAGCAACCACCTCACAACATATCCACAGAGGGAATGACGACGAGTGGGGCAAAGCTTCGGAGGGTTTTATGGAAAAACCGGGAATCATCCGCTGGCCGTGTTCGTCCATCCTTGGTCTGTCTGTCTGTCTGTCTGTCTGTCTGTCTGTCTGTCTGTCTGTCTGTCTGTCTGTCTGTCTGTCTGTCTGTCTGCCTGTCTGTCTGTTGCCCCGCCACGGTGGTCTAGTGGCTAAGGTACTCGGCTGCTGACCCGCAGGTCGCGGGACCGAATCCCGGCTGTGGCGGCTCCATTTCCGATGGAGGCGGAAATGTCGTAGGCCCGTGTACTCAGATTTGGGTGCACGTTAAAGAACCCCAGGTGGTCAAAATTTCCGGAGCCCTCCACTACGGCGTCTCTCGTAATCATATGGTGGTTTTGGGACGTTAAACCCCACAAATCAATGAAATCAATCAATGTCTGTCTGTCTGTCTGTCTGTCTGTCTGTCTGTCTGTCTGTCTGTCTGTCTGTCTGTCTGTCTGTTTGAAGCATAGATGGAAGGACGCACGGACAGACGCATGGACAGGCGAATGTACGCACGGACGGACAAATGTACAGACGCACGGATGAACGCACCGGTGTGCGGATGGACGAACAAACAGCCGGACGTACGGACGTACGCATGGATGGACGGAAGCGTGAACGGACTCATCATCATTCACTCCGTGGATATGCTGTAATTTCTTTTACGATGCCATTTCCCAATACATACCAGTAAAAATCATTGCCACGCTCAATTCGTATTCGGTGTGGGTTAGTTGTGTTCTTCTTGAGAGATTCAACCTTGAGCAGGCCGACTATCTAAAAAAATGGTGCATTTTTCACTGGGGGTCATTATTATGTAATGAGCTGCGGTGAACATTTTATTTGCCGCATGAACAAGTGTTCATGTTAATCCTTGCTGCTTCACAGTACCAGGACACTTGAAAGAAAAAAAAAACAGGCTGAACGTCAGTTTTTTTTAATAAAATACGCATAATTCGTGCAAAACAAAAGCACTAAATACTTTTTATATGCTTTGAAATTTTCAGCCCACTTCACTTTACCATTTACTACACCATACGCAATGACTAAGCACGCGGTTCAGTCTTTGGTCGATGGTTTGAGAAGAGAGTGCCACGGCAAGGGAGTCGACATTGTAGCAGTCGAGCCACTGACGTACAGGTAAGTAGATATATCTGTTAACTGATAGCGTATACGACACTCTCGTTACAAAACAAAACTACGCAGTCCATCTCCAGCCTAATTACGCATTTTGAAACTTTGGATGTGTGTCATTACCACAGTATATCAAGAAATACTGTGTGCATCGATTCCTTTGCAAGGCTGATATCACGTGTTCATTTCTCATTGCAAAGCATGCAATTCCTGATAGTGCCGGTATTTTTGTCACCCTTGCCATTCACGTACGCTCTACTGCAGGGTTTATGGGGAACCCGCAGCGCGTCAAAAACGTTACTCCTAGGCTGCTTGTCAGTATTGATGCCTGGAACGACTTCCAAATGTAGGTCGCATCCACTTACAGTATCTTAATTAGAGGTCAGAATGTTTCCTGGTAATCACGATGTCTTGAGCACATAGACATAAGGCAGAACAGGCATTTTACCTTTCCACACGACAAGCAACACAAGGAATAATAAAATTCAGCAGATATCCCACGTACCTTGGGAATCGATGTTGTGCGAAGTTTGCGGAGGGAACGTGACCATGTAGTAGTTTTTTCTTATTGAGTGACACATCATGAATTGATGCTAAATATATGCGAAATGGTTGTACACATACACATATGTTGAACAGTTGCGGATGCTTACATAAGCAGTTGATTGAATTTGCGCAAAGATGCCAACAGGAACATGAGTATCAGCAACACAAGAAGCGATAAGCTGATATGAAGCGCTGGTGCTCACGAAGAGGTAGCCCTTAGCACTGACAAACTTCAGCGAATATAACCTAACTATAACTGACGTTAGCCCGACGTGACGGCTGTGTGGTAGGAGTACATATGTAATGTTTTTAAAATTGGATACCACCCTTCCCCCTCCCACCACTGCAACCACAATAGACGTTTCACAAACATTACAACCTATTAAAGAAGTAGTTGTGAGACGGTACCTGACTCTGTGGAAGAATAATTGATTGCCACGCAGAATGCTAGGTTTAGATTCTTGCTGAGACCATAACATTTATTGTATGCGTTCGTTAGGTAAACGCTGCTGATGTCGGCCTTTTCTTAACGCTAACATGTTAAAGTTTCCCCCGTGTGTTGTAGTCGTTCTTGGGTAGATGCTAAGTTTCAATCACCTCTGGCAGATACCCGCATAGCAGTGGCATATGTTCGCACACATGTGGCACATACCCACTCGCGGGTATGTGCCACTGTTCAGCGGGAAGTGCTTAATGACGCACGCGACGGGATTGTGACATTATTCAAGTCTTGACTGGCACGTCATATTCGTCCAACTATCTTACCCTCCCATAATAAATTTGGTTTACTCCGAGTTTAGGGGGTGATCTCGAGAGTACCCAGTCGGAAGCAGCTAGATAGATATATAGATAGATACGCAGATAGAAGCCAAAAGTGCTTGCAGCACGCAAATAAATGCTTCGCATTTAAAAAATACACGTAACACACTGCATCTAGTTTTGCCTACGGGAAAGCAGGCAGCAACAACAGTAAGGTCCGGCGTCTTTGCCCACACACTAAAACACTAAAAGGAAGCCCATTAGAACATTCAATGAGTTTGCAAAAGTTCGCGATCTTGAACTGGATCGTAGAAGTAGAAGGAGGGAACACACAGACTGGTACTTCATAAGGTTAAAGCTTGGGCGAGTTGGTTCAAATACATGATTAAAAACACAGCGCAAACAACGGCAGGAAGAAAGGAAGAGACAGGACAGAGCGCTGACTTACAACTGATCTTTATTAGGAAATGCGAACAAATATATATCATGGCAGGCAAATAACACGTGTCCACCACAATATCAAAAAATTCGCACAAGCGTCACCATCACCATATCGCTACTGTCTCACCGCACACGTGTTCATCCTACAGATAAGAAGTCCATCTCTTTTTGAGAGAGGGTTACAGATGCCCTACTTACACATTGATCTTTCAGACGTGCAATTTCAGCCGCTTCCATTATCTCCCTAGTTTTTCTTTCTTTGTGCCTGGCTAGGATTTTAGTGTCGCGAAACTGCGGTGTGCACCCACAATCCCTACAATGGATGCCAAGGTGGCCGCTAATAGTATTTTTCACGTTGTACTCGTGCTCCTTCAATCTTGTGTTTACGCACCTTCCTGTTTGGCCCACGTATATCCTTCCACAGGACAGCGGGATCGAATAAACTACATTTTCCGCGCAAAGTATGTAGCTAAATTTATGATTTACTGCGCAGAGCTGCGGCACTCTTGCGGGTTTATTCACTTGCGCACATATGGACAACAGCTTTATCGGCGCAGAGAACAGCACTCTGACGTTGGCATGCTTCCCTATCTTTTTCAAATTGTGTGCGATCCCATGCATATACGGCACAACGGTACACTTTTTATTTCTGTTGCACTCCGATAACGATAGCCGGCCCTGGGTATGCTTTAGCTTTTTTAAAATAGATTCTGCGACAGAAATTAACAGATGTGATGGATAAGCTGCTGCCTTAAGGCGTTCAAGTTGTTTACTGAAGCTCTCTGAAATTAAGTGGCGACAAGACTTCTTTAGGGCATTAGTAAAGCACGTAGTGGCAATAGACCTCTTTACCAATTTAGAATGGCAGGAATCAAAAGGTAGCAATGGTTTACTGGCTCGTGGCTCATACTCCCAGCAAATGTGATCTGTTTCAAATTTAAGCTTTAGATCAAGAAACCTAATGACCTGCCCCACTGGTAATTCATGCGTCAAAACAAGTGGCTGGAAATGCTTTCGAAATTCATTTAGCACTTCTAACATTAGTGGTTGTAGGCCTGATTCGTCCGTCTGAAAAATAAGAAATCATCTACGTAGCGGAAGACCTTGGTCAGCCTTAAAACATTCATGTGGTCGTGCACTTGCCTATCTAGATGCGCTAGGAAAAGATCACTTAATATCGGAGCTATGCTCCGATATTAAGTGATCTTTTCAGTGATCTTTTCAGTGATCTTTTCAGTGATATTAAGTGATCTTTTCAGTGATACAGGGCATCTGTAACCCTCTCTCAAAAAGAGATGGACTTCTTATCTGTAGGATGAACACGTGTGCGGTGAGACAGTAGCGATATGGTGATGGTGACGCTTGTGCGAATTTTTTGATATTGTGGTGGACACGTGTTATTTGCCTGCCATGATATATATTTGTTCGCATTTCCTAATAAAGATCAGTTGTAAGTCAGCGCTCTGTCCTGTCTCTTCCTTTCTTCCTGCCGTTGTTTGCGCTGTGTTTTTAATCATGTATTTGAACCAACTCGCCCAAGCTTTAACCTTAGCAAGTTTCATTTCTAGTACACAGGGCTCTTTTAACTGTTCCTATGTGGATCCTTACATCCTCATCACCCTCTTCGCCGTCTCTGTCTGCCGAGCACGTACCCTGTCGTTTTATCTAAAGAAGAAGTGGCTGCCGCCAGAAGTTTTGGTGCTTTTTGGTGGCTTCTTTCCATCGCAAGGACATGGAACAAGAATGTGCAAAATTATACGTGCAGAGTGGAATAGGCAGGCAAGGTTTTACAAGGATTGCTTGTTCCTGCGCCTTCATGGCCCAAATATACATCCTCGACCAATTAGAAAATGGAGAGAATTCAGTAGCCTGGCGGATTCAACAGCTGAGTTTATGTGGATGCAAACTTTAGCTGAACTTCGTGCTTCTGAACCTAAGTTTACAAGGGCAAACGTCGACGGTGTCAAGACCCTCGGGGATGTGTCTCTTCCGGACGGCATTCGCAAAGTTCTGAACAAAGGACCGAAGTTCGCCATACAACCTGTAAAGACTGCGCCTGAACTGCTAACCTTGGTGAGACAAGTGTCTGAACTGGCTCCAGAGGCGGACGCTGACAGGTGCGTGTCTGAAGGTGTTGATGTATTGGTGAAGTGCGGTCAGAGGGAGAATGACTTTCGAGTTCGGCAGACGGTGTCCTTCTTGAGAACTAACGCTTTGGCTTTGTTACCGTCCGATAAAGAAGGTGGCTTCTTAGTTTTAAAGGAGGGCACGTTTATATCAAAAGCTGAGGTAGCGATATCTTCAGCTTTCACCTTAAAGGAAAATGTTTCCCTTCAGCAGGTTAAGTCAAAAGCCAAGAAGCTATGTAAAAAACTAAATCTTGAGAGCTTGGTGAAATCGATTGACAAAAGCAAAGGTGGGAGCTTGCATATGTTTTTCACTGCAAAAACCCATAAAGTGGACATGCCATTAAGGGTAATAGTATCGGAAAATGGTACGTGGCAGAAATGTTTGTCTTCGTTTCTGCAAGAAAAGTTAAGGAAATTGGAAGTAAATGACCCCTTTATTGTGCGAAAATCTGACGATGTGATTGCGTTTTTAGATACCTGTAACGACAAAAGCTACATGGCATGCTCATTGGATGTAAAGGACCTTTACTATTCTTTGCCTCATAGTCGACTTATGCTGTGTATTGAAGAGTGTATAGATAAGCATGGTGCAACCGCCTTTCAGAACGACACAGGGTTAGCGGTTGGCAGTTTTTTAGAGCTTTTAACCATGTACCTTAATTCGACTTTTACAACATGGAATGACAGGGTTTACATCCAGACAAATGGGGTCTGCATTGGATCTAGCATAGCTCCGATATTAAGTGATCTTTTCCTAGCGCATCTAGATAGGCAAGTGCACGACCACATGAATGTTTTAAGGCTGACCAAGGTCTTCCGCTACGTAGATGATTTCTTAGTTATTTTTCAGACGGACGAATCAGGCCTACAACCACTAATGTTAGAAGTGCTAAATGAATTTCGAAAGCATTTCCAGCCACTTGTTTTGACGCATGAATTACCAGTGGGGCAGGTCATTAGGTTTCTTGATCTAAAGCTTAAATTTGAAACAGATCACATTTGCTGGGAGTATGAGCCACGAGCCAGTAAACCATTGCTACCTTTTGATTCCTGCCATTCTAAATTGGTAAAGAGGTCTATTGCCACTACGTGCTTTACTAATGCCCTAAAGAAGTCTTGTCGCCACTTAATTTCAGAGAGCTTCAGTAAACAACTTGAACGCCTTAAGGCAGCAGCTTATCCATCACATCTGTTAATTTCTGTCGCAGAATCTATTTTAAAAAAGCTAAAGCATACCCAGGGCCGGCTATCGTTATCGGAGTGCAACAGAAATAAAAAGTGTACCGTTGTGCCGTATATGCATGGGATCGCACACAATTTGAAAAAGATAGGGAAGCATGCCAACGTCAGAGTGCTGTTCTCTGCGCCGATAAAGCTGTTGTCCATATGTGCGCAAGTGAATAAACCCGCAAGAGTGCCGCAGCTCTGCGCAGTAAATCATAAATTTAGCTACATACTTTGCGCGGAAAATGTAGTTTATTCGATCCCGCTGTCCTGTGGAAGGATATACGTGGGCCAAACAGGAAGGTGCGTAAACACAAGATTGAAGGAGCACGAGTACAACGTGAAAAATACTATTAGCGGCCACCTTGGCATCCATTGTAGGGATTGTGGGTGCACACCGCAGTTTCGCGACACTAAAATCCTAGCCAGGCACAAAGAAAGAAAAACTAGGGAGATAATGGAAGCGGCTGAAATTGCACGTCTGAAAGATCAATGTGTAAGTAGGGCATCTGTAACCCTCTCTCAAAAAGAGATGGACTTCTTATCTGTAGGATGAACACGTGTGCGGTGAGACAGTAGCGATATGGTGATGGTGACGCTTGTGCGAATTTTTTGATATTGTGGTGGACACGTGTTATTTGCCTGCCATGATATATATTTGTTCGCATTTCCTAATAAAGATCAGTTGTAAGTCAGCGCTCTGTCCTGTCTCTTCCTTTCTTCCTGCCGTTGTTTGCGCTGTGTTTTTAATCATGGTACTTCATGTTTCCTTGTACTAACATCGTTGCAATGCAGTTCAAGATGGCCGAGATATAAGGTAAGAAGAGCGTAATTGCGTCGTCTTCTTCGCAGGTCTAAGGTTACGGACGCCGTAGGCTGCCTCAGCGCCGTCGAAAGGAATTCAAGAGCCAGCCCGCCGAAGTTACGGCCGGCTTCAACGCTCAAGAACTGCACGATTGGACACGCTCAATGAAGGCCCTATACGACTGGAGGATCAAGGACGACATTGAAGACATGGTCGACCAAATGGTCCTGGCTGTCAGGGAGACGGATCCCAAGACTCGATACACAACAATGGCCATCTTCGACTACGCTTGGGTCACGTGCCTCAGGATGCTACCGGATGAGGCGGTGGATCTTATTTTACTGTGGTCGAGACGACTGGCGCTGTGGAGAAAAAAGTGAGCGCGCCAACATTTTAGGTCTGCTACGGCAGATATCACAGGGTGTCGTCTATTGGTGGCGCTTGCGTCGACATACTGAACAACCTTGAGGAACTGGTCATTTTAATGAGTGTGTCCTCTGGACAGATGGAACTCCTCGGTATTGCTGAAGTTCTGAAGTTGTTTTCGCACAATCTGCCACCTCGAGTTCATGGCTTCAACGATACAACTTGTTGACATTGCCTGCTCATGCGAAGCAAATGCGGGCTAAACTAACGCATATGTCTGCAAATTTTCGTCGTCGAACGAGAAAGGCGCTGCAGAGAATTACGGAAGTTCTCAAGATGTCAACTTTCACTACGTATTGTGAGCAGTCTTTGGAGGTATCATGCGAAGAGAGTGTATTTAAGGTCAAATAAGCATGGTGCATACCTGATGACACATACTCTTCGTCCCAAGCTTCCATGAAAAATGTGCTCGGATTCACACATGTTTGCCGTAAATATGTATTCGAAAACTATGAGTTATGAAACACACATTCACGGTATACAGCACTGTGTATCTACTGCGTGCCTCTCCCCGTCCTCCTCAGTGTCGGTGAAGCTCACTTTCTTAAACCAACAAGCTCACGTGGACTCTCTGCCGGAATTATGAGAATATTAATATAAAGTACTCCTGAACCAATTTTTAGGTGCACGTTGAAGAATATCCCAGCGTCCAACGTAATTGAACGTTGACCCACGCCGACCTCTCAGTAAGTACGTTTTAGCTGTAGTTAGAGGTGGTCAATAAGCCCCTAAATTGGAATTACTAACAAAGCTCATAATAGCAAAAATCTGACGTGGAAGATTTGATGCGCAAGAATGATCACATTGTCAGAATTTCTGTGTCAGCTTAAAAGCCACGTACTTCTACACTACTGTTTCAGTGTCAAGCCATTCTCTTTTGAGTTGTTAATTTATCATAAACTGGCCCGTTCCGTACGAGGTCTGCAAGTGAAGTAAAAAAAAAACAAACAGACGCAACTGTTTGTATAAGATCGCTGCTCCATCTTTTGTCCTCTTCTGTTTCTGAGCTACACTACGAGCCAGTTTTTCTTGCCAAGGATTTGCCGAAGCTCGCCTGCAGATTGTGTCCGTGTCCACTTTAATGAGAAATGTGCTCCTCAAGTTTATCTCTGACTTGTGCTTTCACTTTATCATAAGCTGAAACTTTCGCGTGAAGGCAGATAGCGAATCACTGACGTCACGGGGGAGAGTGGTCTCGAAGAAGATGTAAGGTGTGTCTCGGCCAACCGGGGATCGATACAAGTCCTTCGGATAAGTTTCTCGGACGGCCTTCTCGATGACGTCGACGCCTTCTTCGGGGTCTTCTCTAATAAAAGCATCGAAGGCTCTCTGATTTGTCTCTATCCAGTCCTTAATGTCCTGGTCACTGTAGTCGGCAACTGCCTCCGGATCCTGTTGCTTGAAGTCCCGCATAATCGTGTCCATGGGAGTCGAGTCAGTTTTAAAGATGACCGTTGTAGAAACAAGTAAAAAGACAGCAACGTAATGAATGAATGCGCTTTTGAGACGTTGTTTGAGAACAAGAAAGAAACCCATTTTTCTTATCAGTACGGTCCAAAGATTGGCAAATTACTACTAGAAAGTAATGAAATTGCAAGTCACAGCTTATACCGGGGGATCATTTTACTGCAGCTTTTGGAATGAAACAATACTTGAAAATTATTTTTACGTAAGTTCAGCATTCACGCACTGACTTTCGTGCACTTAATTCTAAGTACATATACAATGAAAGGTATACAGCGTACATATACAAACAACCAAAGCATATACAAGCAATACAAAGCACATATACATTTCAGATATATTCGTCCAACTTTCCATGCTTGGGATGTGAAACGGAGATTAGCTTGTCTCTTACGTTTCCTTTCTTTGTTGGTCAGCCTTATAAGGCACACGTGAAGTGCACATGCTATAACTTAGCCAAAAGTAATAAGTGATTATCTCGCAAGTAACACGCTTGAAGTAATTTTTTTCTTTACTTCTTAAAAGGAAAATAATTCAATTGCAGTAGTTTGTGTAATTTGATTGCTCCCGGGTATGTTGCTGTTCATTACTTCATAATGTTGATTTCTTGGATTGAAGTACCCCAGGTACTGAGATAAGGGAACGCATTTAGTGATGCGTCTAACATAGGAAGGCAAGTATACCTGGGCTACCTTTTTCTTCCATCCTACGGTACTTGCTTGTTGCTTATTTACATGTTCTGTAACCTTTGCACTTGTCATCTTTTATTGTAGTGTTACACCTTACGCAATACATCTAGCAGCCTATTACAGAAGCATCATGTGCTGGGCTTGTTGGTACGTAGTTTTAAATAACAATGACACCCTGTCTTTCAGTATATACGTATACAAGCACACGCTGTTCCAGCGTGTATGCTCGTGCGAATCATTGCGCTTGTGTATGCGTCTTGCAAAGCTGGGTTTTGCTCTCCTTTAAAACTGTAGGCCTGTAGAATATATTTAAATAAATTATTTCTATGCTAAATAACGCTATCGAACTGTTAAATAGAGCCTTATACCGTATATAAATCGCACTATAAGAACATGTTCGTTTCGCCACGTGATCCTGGAAAACGAAAAGCTCCCCACTTTTGCAAGCTCACAAACACTTTTGGGAACATTACATATTTTATTCAAGTGGTCTCAGGGTTATCACGGCACCTGTTTTTATCTCCTCGTTCTAATAAGCAATGATTTACTCAAAAGTATATTATTTCATCAGTTTAATTTAATTGTGCGGTTAATGAAAATTAAATTGAAGCGGATAAGGAAGCCCAATTCTTCACTACGCTGTTGCAATGACAAGCTGCAAAGGGCATGTTGTTGAACAGAAGTGCTTAGCTCATCTGGTTCCAGAAACGTTGTATATGGCTTCACTTTCACTGAACGTACCGGTAAGCCGAAGGCTCGACTGTGACGAAGTCAACGCCCTTGCCGCGACATTCCCGGCGCAGACCATCCATCATGGAGACGACGGCGTGCTTGGACATGCAGTACGGCACGCTCATGGGAACTGTAAAATGACCTGAAATCGACCACGGAAATAAGCACTTGAAGATGTTGGGCTCAGCTAGTCAGGGACAGGCATTCAATGTATTCAAGGAATATGTGTGTACTCCTTAACACAGTATTAAAGGGACAGAAAATGAAAAAAAAATGACTTCTTTTAGATTGACAAACTGAGCTCTTAGAGCTTCAATGCTATATGCTGCACTGCCATTAGTGAAGGAAATAAAGGTGGAAGTTAAGTTTTAAAGTTTGCGTGACGTCGGGACGTCAAAAAAATTCAAAATGTACTTTTCGTGTTTTCGCGACATTGGCCTGATGAAGTTTTCTAAAACACTGTATGCCAGGTTTATGACATAGACTGATGACGGCATACTACATTTTTCTCGATTTGCAGCTACGAAGAAGCAATTAGACGCCTTCAAAATCTATAACGTTTCCTAAGCAAACATACTTCGGACTTGCTGGTTTGTTACGTTCATCGAAGCCATAGCGCGGAAAGGCAGGGACCACAGGAGGCGTTGTGAGCAGCGTCCCCCCACTCCCCCACCGTTCTTCCTCTGGAGTCCCTGTTTTTCAGCGCTGTGTCTTCAATGAAATACGACGTTACGGTGTTACGTGCGGGAATCCAGAGTTTGCGTCTCCACCTTCGTTCTATTTTCGCGTGTTTTCACAATTACCAAGCGCCGTGTCATGGTAAGAGTGGTGTTTTCTGCAGTGTGATTTCGGGATTGTACTTTACTAATATGCGAAAAATCGTTTTGCTTGTTAGTGTCCCTCTAATGACTCCAGAATTGTTTTGTTCAGCTTAACTTGCAATCGTCTCCAGCTTAGCCCCACCTAAGATACGCGGCTGCTGACCTACAAATCGCGGGATCAAATCCCGGCTGTGGCGGCTTCATTTCCGATGGAGGTGAAAATGCTGTGGGCCAGTGTGCTCAGATTTGGGTGCACGTTAAAGAACCCCAGGTGGTCCAAATTTCCGGAGCCATCCACTACGGCGTCTCTCATAATCACATGGTGGTTTTGGGACGTGAAACATCACATATCAATTTATCATAACGCTAGCTTAAAGTGGCAATAAAGCGAAACAATCAATTGATTTCGATTGATAAGCTTATATCTAAGAACTTAAACAACGTTTATTTCGCCATCGAAGGCTCATTAGTGTTGAATAAAATAGAGGACAAAGTATGATTCTTAAATGTTTCGCTGAAATCACTACACGCGATTTCACAGATTTTAAAGTACATTCTTTCATTAGAGCAACCTTTGCGCAACAACCTTTCTTAAGACTTGGTATGCCAAGTCTGTCGCCCCCTCATAAAACAGTGTACTTCTTTTTTTTATCAATTAGAAACTAAGGACCGTCGATGCTGATAGAAGCTGTGACGTCACGACGTTTTGTGCGCGAATCACATGGTCCCGTCTCCACTCGCATCTTCTTTTTGAGGAAATGCGAGTGAAGACTTCCAATCTGTAATACGTTGAACTGCGCATGCGCATTGCATGTTGTCATCCCGTTTTAGAACAGTCTAGAGCGCTATGCAGGATGGCCCGAGCTTGGCCAATGCCGCCTAGATAATTTCAGGCCTGCTCACTGTTTCTGCGGCGGGCTCTGACGTCACTCCGTTTAGACCGGTGTGTTTTGCTGCAGAGACGTGCCTACATCTGCTATCGTCGCTCAACAGACATGGATTGCCAAGCTTGACGAACGTTTTCGTGGCGTGCTGGTGTGCTTGTTGGCGACTGGAGAAGACCGTGCTTTTCTGTGTCCGTGAACTGCAGCGTGGATACTAGGTGCACGTTGTGCACTGGATATTCGCAATCTGTATGGCTGCAAATCCGAACGGTTGAGCGTTGCTGAACAGCGGATTGTCGCGGCAAAGGGACCAAAGTTACGAGCGTTCTCCGTTTCTAAGGAGAACCGAAAAACGAAATGGGAGCGTGTCGTTCGTCAAGCTGACGTCGACATCTGTTTTCTTCGTGACACGAATGCACGGGTGTCCGTGCTACATATTTCTAAGTCGTTCCAACGGCACCATCTCTAGCATGTCCCGTTCTTGCTCTAAAATAAAGGTATCATGTGTGTTTCTCACTTGTCAGCGTAAGCCCTGAAATTAAAATAATAAACATGCGTGGTGATCAGTTTTTAGAACAGGCGTTTTTCCTTCAGTGTCGGTAAGCATTTCCTATTGAATATTAGCACGGTGGACTTCTTCTATTACGTCTGTTTACTTGGTTGAGAAAAATTGAAGGAATGCTATTGCTTAGTGCATCGGTTTCGTACATAGGATTTTCTAGCCGGTGTTCTAACCACTTCATTGTGGTATCATTATTTTGCGACAGTCTTGCCTGCACCTTATCCTAATAGGTATCCTTGAAATTTAAATGCGTGCAGAGACTTACGGTAAAGCGCTTTCCTAAATGGTTTTGAGGTGTGTGAGCTCTACCTCGAGCTAGAACATTTACCGATAACTACCAAATATACCGATCCAGGAACTGGCAGTGCAGTAAAAGCACCCATGGTGGCTGCAGAGTTTAATATAGACCCATTACCAACATTTTCTCGGGCTTAAGTTATAGGATTGATTACGCACCACTGCGAGAGGGGCCAGAGCAAAAGAGAAACGCCGTTCCTTGTGCCACAAAAGATGTTTGGGAAGCGAAAGATCTTGTTTTCTCTTACAGTCGTCATCACCCTGATATTGTGCTGAATAACACACTTGTGGCAACAGCACGCACTCTCCTCAATACCTACGTGTCTATGAAGACATTCAATCGAAGAGTACAAGTAAAACTGCCGGAACTTTACAAACGATTAGAAACAGTTTCTCTGTGTGTTCTAGGTAGTGTGTGTGTGTGCGTGTGTGTGTGTGTGCGTGTGTGTGTGTGTGTGTATGTGTGTGTGCTTGTTTTGTGTGTGCGTTTGTGTGTAAGTAAAGAATGAATAAAGTTTACCTTATCTATTTCGTCACTTTGGTGGTCCATCAAATTTTGCTCTTATAGATCGACCACACTTTCAATAGCGCACCTTATTTGACGTTTTCGTCAAAGGTATGTATCAGGAAAGGTGCGCTTTGAGGTTTTCACCAAATAAATGGCTCACTGATAAATCTATAAACGCTTTCAAGCGCAATACGTCCCTTAAAATAGCGCTTTTTTCGGCACAAAAGGCAAAATAAAGATTTCAAACATGTAAAACTCGTCTTGGTAGGAAGCGCAGCCACTATTACACAGAACACACCAACACAAGCGCTTAACTTCAACTAAACGCTTGCAAGAAACGTTTAGTTGAAGTTAAGCGCTTGTGTTGTGTGTTCTGTGTAATAGTGGCTGCGCTTCCTACCAAGATGAATTCACACCAACTGGCTTGATGAAATTGTTTATTAATGTAAAACTCATCGCGAACGCTTTATTTTTTTTTTTTACCGCGATATGATGGTGGCCATGAATTCACAGCCTCCGCTACGCGCGTTCGCTACACCAAAACGAACGACGTCACAGTGAGTGTGCAGGTCTGAAAATATTTTTCTAGGAAGCAGTGGCTTGGGTAACTGGAGATATTTAATCTATCAGATTTATCTATTCGTCTATGAGCTATATCGCGCAGGGTATGCATACAGGCACGAAGCAAAATTTATATATTCACATGGCTACGATTTCTCGCATTAAGTCTCATCTTACTCTGGACGCAGCACTCACAGCCGCGTTGCTGCCATGATACGAGCACCACTGGTGATAACCTGTCCACATAGTTATCAGCAATAATTTATAAAACTGAAGTGGACTGCGCTAGAGTGCCACGTGTGCACTCTTGTTGCCTTCAAAAGTAAAAAGTCACATGCTGCAGGTAGAATAAGAGATCTTGTCCTAAAGAGGACAGACGTGCGTGGGAAGTGCGACGTTGAGTTGGCAAAAAAGATAGCGCAAAAATCGCGCCGACGTCGCCACACTGTTGAAATGTCGACTGAGTGGTGGCGCTGACGTTTTCGCACGTGGTGTTTCTTTGATAACCACCGCAAATACCACGCATGTCTTTTTCACGCCACGATTATTCTGGCAGCCGTTTTTATCAACGCTGTTATGCGCTTCGCACTGTCCTCGTGCCACGAATGCCGTAGTGCGAGCTCTCAGCAAACTCGTCTGCCCGAGAAGACATCCTGCATGACGCATATGAAAGTCTAATTTCAAGGATACATACCGAAGCAGCGGCAGGGCTTAGCTGTTCATTGTGTCTCTTACTCTGTAAACATCTTACGTTGACTGGACGTGCAATGCACGTGCAGTAGTTGTAAGCTATATACTACTAGAGAAAATTATCACATCAACCGAGAGATATGCATGAAAGAAACTAAGAGGCACTAAAACAAAATGTGTAAGTGCCATAACAGCTAGATTGTGGCTTGGTTTAGTACCTGAGGCGCTCTGGACAACCTGCAATGTGAACGGCAGGTGGCGCTGCTGCAGCGCCGTGTAGTGAATAAGCCACTGTAGGCAGCGCTGAACGATATGCGCAGCCACTCATACGTGACGCGTGTTTCAACAGTGGCGGCGTGAAAGGTTGATAATTGATGCTATTTCAGTCATTGGCTTGTCGGCGATCAGACGACCTTGACAGTGGCGTAGCCAGGTGTGGCTCACTGAGCCCGTGCCACTCTCCTCACCCTCGAAATTTTTTTCCATCATGGCACACAGAGGGCGAAATGACCATTTTCTTGCCCCACCTCCCTCGCATCAAGGAGGTTTCCTACAATACTTACTGGAGGCAACTTCTGGCTATAGTGTCTATGGGTACTTACGAGAGGCAACTTCTGGCTATAGTGTCAATGGGTGCTTTAACGCACGGCGCTTCAGCCAGGATGCGAATGATGATTAGTACGCAAGTTTGCCTTGTCTTTGTTTTTTCGGCTGCGTTTGGCTTCGCGTGACGTGAAACCGCTTCGTTGCAAGATGAAAAGCAGGAAATGGTCAGAAGTTGCACTTGAACACCTTGCAGGCTCACCAATTCGAATCAGTTTATGAAGCTCCCCATGAACCAGGCCTCTGTATAGATCAAACGCAGAAAAACAAGGTTGAACGAAGCCACAAGTCTGTTCGAGCCGCAAGCTGCGAAGATTAGGCAAATTTGTGTACCATACTATTCATCAATCCCATGGCGGCTGAACGAAGACAGTACCACATTTTCCTGTAGTTAATTTTACAAAGCTCTATCATTAAAAGGGGTGCCATGGAAATTAGGCAAATCCTCTAATCACCTCTGGTTCGCTGAAAATGAACATGATAACCGTTATCCCAAGAAATTGCTGCGAAGCAACGGTGGCCACCCGATGACCTGGAGTACGCACAACGAAAGAATACTTGGGAATGGGAAAGGTAATGGTGGCTGCAAGAAGACCTTGAAGTAATAGAAGGCCTACGTGAAAGATTACGTGTACGTGCGTATATGACAGGTGCGCACGTTTGGTTTCGGCACGAGTGTCGGCTTCTGAAGTTTGGTAAACCCTGACATGTCTGCGACTGTCTCTGGTTTAATTGGAACCTCCAAGCGCTCAAAATAAACGTGTAAACAGCCTATCATCACTCAGCTAAACCCTAGCAAAGATCTACAAGCAACCTAGAAACAACCTGCATCAACTATGTAAGGGCTATAGACGACCTAGAAGCAACGAGATCATTCTTCAGAATAGCCCGGTCTGGCTGTTCCAAGCATTGCGGAGTTAAGTATATATAAGGTCGCAAGTTTTCTTTTTTTTTTTTTTGCGAAAACAACATGCAAAATTTCGTGCCATTTCTTCTGCCGCGGCTTTATGATAAAAGTGGGGCCACACAAAGTAAAAATTAAAGCGATCGTCTCACATTAAGAGCATCCAAAACATTCATTATGACTAGCGAGCGTATATTGCCGCACCGATTTGTCTTTTCCTATTTCTTGTTACCGTCCCATGGCGCTGTAGCTGCTACCTTGCGCAAAGTGCACCCGAATAACTGAAGACTGTCCAAGTAATCTTAGAACCTTCCGATAGGATTACATGGTGAACGCGAACATTGCAGTGAGTTCTGCACTCTAAAAAATATCGAGTAAAAAGGGTGTCTTTTTGTCCCACAACAATAATCGTCATCAGGCTTGCGTGCACCTCCTTTCTTGAAAACTCGGCACTGGCCACTTTCCTATCGAGAATGCAATGTAACCCTGATAATAGGCTTGTCGATCGTGACCGGAATGTACCGGGCGCGGGGCAATAGCGCAAGAGTGAAACGCAATATAGATGACGATTATTGTTGTGGGACAAAAAAGACACCGTTTTTACTCGCTCTTTCTTTAGAGTGTAGAACTTACGCGGCCACTAGTGATAACGCTGGGATCATCGGTGATACATGTACAAAAGCCGACGCGCTCCTCAGATTACGGATGGCCGACGTTACATATATTGCTTGCACAGCGAAGTTAAGTTTTCCTAGTGCACGTTCACCCGAATAAAAAGTTCACTTAGAAAAGCCGACTGCTGCCTTCGTGAACGTCGAGACACCGTGACAGTAGCACTCACCGGCGTGACAGACCGGGAACAAAGATGTCCCAGGAGACTGCGGAAAGAATGCTAATATGCGGTTCGTTGTTATGTATGCATAAAATTTCTCGTGCCTAAGGGACTCGCGATGGTGACAAGCCTGCCCTTGCTTTTCTTCAGTAGTGGCAGAAACTTCTTGGCGACTCGAAGCACGCCGAAGACGTTGACGTTGAAGACGTCGACGACCGTGTCCATCGTGAGCCACTCCAGAAGGCCGATGCTTCCGATCCCGGCGTTCGCAACAACCGCCCAAAGCTCTGCATCAAAAAAAAAGCCAAACAAAAATGGATATACCTCAGCGAGAACACAAGAAAGAAATCGTCGTTTATGTTTGCTGAGTACGGGGCGCGAACACATACCGCAGCGCCACCATACGGAGGCTTCCTTGTGAAGTGCAAGGTTGAATGGCACCACCAGCCTTTTCCTGCTCAGTCAGCAGCAGCTTTAGCGCTCCCCCCTTTTTTTGTTCTTATTCTTGCACCTCACTTCAAATAGATCAGTAAAGTAATGCTGCAGCTTCGTTACTGATAGTGTAAGATGCTAAATAAGAGCTTCGAAAAAGTCTTACGTTCCTCTAAGTGCCTTGCAAAACGGCTCTAGTTCCTCTGTTGCCTAAGATGACTCCTGGAAGGAAGAAAGAAGGACAGGGAGGAAGGGAGTCGTCTGCTATGTTCACCGATATGGAAGCCGCGGGGCCCAGTTTGCTGCTTTTGGTAAGGAAACATTTTGTATCAAATCGAAGCTAAACATCCAAGAGGATACTTGAGCAGTGAAACATATTTTTGATGAAAAAAAAAATAAGTGCGACCGTGCAACTCAATTTGTAGTAAGTCTGCATGTAAAAGTGAGCTTCGGTTGACAGGATAAGTGTGCGCAAATGTTTGACGTGCATAGACTTCGTGAAGCATGACGCAAACGGTTTCATCGTTTTGTGAAAAGCAGCCCAGCTAGCCTAGAGGTAGCTGCATGCAGCCGTAACTAGTCTCGCATGACTGGAGGCAAACGCAAAAGAATTTTGCATGCACGGCTTCAGTCAGAGTTGTAGCTAGAAAACATTTCCCTTGTGCACACAATTCTCTGAGGCGCGACCTTAGTAATAATGTTTTGCTTTATGTTTCGCGAATTGCCGGCGGTTGTCCCACGGCGCAATTTCGATAGCTTTTTGTAGTGCCATAGAAATGAGTTTTTACAAAGCGGCCAATAACAATAAAAAAATCGGTCCTGGCCAAGTTCGATTGCGATAGTGTGCGCAGTCTACTGTCCTGTGTGAGCGCACTGTGCGATAACTGGGGGTATTTCTTTGCGCACTTGAATGAGCATGCTGCAAGGTCTAACATTGCCAATTTTGTGTCAGAGAAAATACCAGCGTTCAGCATTTATTAGTAAGCAGTATGACACTTCGCGGCTGCTTTTAGAAGGCGAATTATTGTTTGAAGCTGGTCACGTTTTCGCTTGCAGAGTAAAAAAAAAAAAAACCTTGAAAAAAGTAACGCTGGCTATCCGCTCGTTGTACGGTCTATCGGTAATCAAGGAATACCAAGGGCTGAAGTAGAGAGCCGGACGAATTATCGGGTGTGATCGGGAAAAAACTCGAGAATAACTAAAATGGACATCAAAGTTGAGGGGGGGGGGCAGAGAGTGGTGGTAGTTACGTTGGTAGGACTAGGGCAAACAACTCTCAGCAGCGATGCAAGCCGCACATGTCCGTTGTAAGAAGGGTTTCGTCGAAAGCGCTGAACAAACACGCTCAAGTTAATGGCCGTGATATAGACTGAGATAAGGGACGAGAACTACAAAAAGGGACGAGAACTGGACTACTCAGCTTTATCGTGAATCTGTGGCAAACCAGACAACAGCGCACACGCTTAGTCGTAATGACGGCAAATTCCCACACGCGTTAACGCGTTTCCTTCGTTATATTTTATGTACTATTTTAAGCACTATCGGCATCAAATGAAACGCCAGCGACGGAGCGCATGACCAAATCATTAGCAATGGTATAGTGCGCTCCGCTGTCCAGCCATCACCGCTGACAGGTGCACACGTCTGGTTCGACAAAACTTTGCTAGCGTTCTATTTCTCATTAGGTGCTGATAGGGGCCGGCGTGGGTGAGCCAAGCGCTTTTGGTAGTTCTTTTTATCTGGTTTTTGTGGCCTTCGTTTTGAATATTAGAACTAGAACAGAAGTAAAGATATCGGTCTTTGGGGAAATCGTGCGCAGCTGCCTAGTTGCATATGTGGAGCGGAGCTAGCTACGTTGATTACTGTAGAGTGCACAGTTTTCGCTTAGTGAAAAGTAAGCCCTTCTGTAACGCGAAATTTGCATATACTTTGATATATATATATATATATATATATATATATATATATATATATATATATATATATATATATATATATATATATATATATATATATATATATATATATATATATATATATATATATATATATATATATTCAGCAGACGTTCATGCGCGATTGCACATACTTATATTTTTGCCCACACGCATTGGATGGAGCTCGATTGGTGGCACACCAGCGCCAATCAGGATCGCTTTCTTCAAGTACTGTGCATGCTGATATCTATTAGTGCACTCTAAAAGAATACTGGCACCCCTGCCATGGGCACTCAACACCCTTGTGTACCCTTCTCGCACCCTCCTCAACGGGTGTTAAAAAGTGAAGGACGTTCAAGGCACCCTTTGTAAGGATGTTTTTGTAACACCCTGCAATTTTACATGTACGCTATGTTCTACACTCTAAAAAATATCGAGTAAAAAGGGTGTCTTTTTGTCCCACAACAATCATCGTCATCAGGCTTGCGTGCGCTTCCTTTCTTGAAAACTCGGTGCTGGTCACTTTGCTATCGAGAATGCTACGTAACCCTGATAATGGGCATGTCGATCGTGACCGGAATGTACCGGGCGCGGGGCGATAGCGCAAGGAATGAACGCAATATAGATGACGATTATTGTTGTGGGACAAAAAGACACTCCAAAAAATACTCGCTCTTTTATTGGAGTGTAAGGGTGCATGGGAAAGCACCCTTTTTGGAAGGTGCTGAGTTAACACCCTTAAGGTGTTGCCCATAGAACAAGCCCATTGAAACCCTTATTGGTGTAAAACTATTACTGTGTACACGTTCTGTGAAGCTTGCGGCACGTGCTCCGCTGTTCATGTTTCATTCGACGTAGTTTGTACGCGTGCACTAGACTTTTCCGCGCTGTGCACACATGAAGGAAGAACAAAGTAACGCTGTTCAAAAGAAAAAAAATCCGTGAAATTGTGGTAAAAATATAATGCAATAGAACCGCCTGCTTCCCTTCACCAGAGCGAAGTGATGAGATCACGTGATTCAACCGTGCATGTCATAGCGATTGCAGCGCCCGCGTCTCCAGCGGTATTCCTCACACCCAATAGCTCCAAGATGTCGCTTAGCACTTCTAACATGACGTACAACTAAATCATCGCCTATCTTCATTGCCGGTGTCGTATTATAATTCCACCGTCTATTTCACAGTTCAGATGCATGGGCATTTTTGGCACTTTTTGTTTTATTGAAATATGCAGTGTCAGTTGTCGTCAATGTGTGTTTCTGTCACCTTCTCCAGCCGCACAATACAGTCATTGATGTAGGTCCACGACGATGACATACGGAGGAATTACTCGACAAAATTTGGTAACGGCCACAGCTCGTTGATATACACGAAGTTACCATATATTGCTGTTGCTTTATGGTTAGTCATAATTGTTTCTATTCTCATGAGGATTAGCAAATGAGTCTACCACAAGGTACCACTTGGTGTCCAAGCATCTTGAAATAATTTATCATCCTTGCTTATTTTGTGGTTGCCTTTAACCTGTGTATCTATAGTCTGCCCGTACACTCAGCATGCACCCACCACTACATATTACAACGTTTAGTGGGTCATCAACCACAAATGAGTCATTACTCACTCACACCAATCATTCCAGACCCACCACCACCCATCATCCTCAGGAATGATGGGTTGGAGTGAGTCTGGTGGGTGATGGGTCTGGTGGGATGGGTTGATGGGACCACCCATCAACGTCTGGAATGATGGGTGGTGGGTACCATCATTCCCACCATTGGGCACGTTTTGAATAGTTAGAAAAGCAAAATGACGTGGAGAATAACAAGACGGTTGTACGGTTTGCTACTCTGCAAGGGGAAAAAGAGCCGAAGAGCAAAACAAGAGAGAGAAAGAAAGGAATGAAATGCACATGTGATGATAAACACACGTCTAGTTTGCCAACGTGAACTGTTTGAAATGACTAAGGTGCACCAAGAGAGAAAGAGAGGAAACAAAGGCGAAAGGGAAGAAAGTTAACCAAGCTAAGCGGGGCTGGCTACCCTACACATGGGAGAATAATAGAAGAAAGAACAAGATCACTAAAGAAAGGACAATGAACAACAATTAGCCAAACACCAAGGTTTGCTCTCATATCCTGGATGTCATTGAAGTAAAGTACAAATGTCCCATAAATTTAAGATCAAACAGCTTATTCAAACACCTTATGAGATCAGTTGAAGATCAAACACCTTATGTTTGTTGTTCGGTGAAATTCAATACAGACACTTCACTTACCCCTTCGGCCTAGGTGCTTCTTTATCGTGATGAAGGCTTTGTCCACTTGTTCCTGCTTCGTCACATCTAACTCTAGAACGTTCACGTTCGAGAAGCCCTTTAGGTCACTGGCGCCCGGGCTGTTGAAATGGAGACAACTGGCAAATACCAGGAAGCCTTTGCGAGAGAGTCGCTTCACCAGTCGGTTACCGAATCCCGTATCACACCCTAAAAAGTTCAAATAGTAAAAAGGGACATTCTCTTAGCAAGTGAACGTGGACAAACGCTATTTTAAACGCATTATCTGAGAACTTGACACGGCATGTAAATGATGTCTTTGTTATTGAATCTTCTGCTAACATGAAGTAATGAAATGTTACGTTTAGTAAAAAAGAACTTCTCACTGCTACTGCGCCCAGTAGGGGATGGTTGTTATTACTTCGGAGGTACTTTTGCAGCACATCAACCGAATTCAGTCATTTGAAGTCTTCAAGCTCTATTGTTAAGCAATCATACGCAGTTTTACTTACGAGCGAGCCCTCGCGTACCAGTAAGATTCTGACTCGAATAAATGAGCTACACAAAAAATAAACTTTATTGCGCAGGACATAGAAATGCACACGTATATAGTATGAAGACCGGCGATACACAAAGGAATTTCAAAGAAACTAGGTCTGGATTAATTGCCGGTAAGCCAATGTTAAGATCGCTACAATTTCCTGCTATACAAAATATTCAAGCTTTTGTTTAGACATCATGAAGTTATTTTAGTTAGTTTGGCACAGTCCTCTTATGGATCCCAAATTCCAGTGACGAACACTCAATTACAGTGGAAAAGCGTTAGCACTGGTTTAGGGCTTGAGACCTGCGTTGCAACGAAGCTGAGCCCATAAAGCGAAATGCTACTTGCTATTTGTATGAATGAAGGTATCATAAATGAGATAATCTAGTAGACCCCCTGACACTGGCGGCGCAACCAAATTTTAACATCTTCACGCAATTGATTCGAAATAATTCTGCGTACCACATTTGTACCGTAGCAAGCCATGCATTAAGACGAAATGTTTTGGTACGCCCACACACGACTTTGCATTTCGAATATCATGCAATAATGACTGGCACGTGAACAACTGTTATATGCAGAAAACACAATGTCGTTTCTTACACGCCATTTTACTTATAGGGCACATATTACCTTTCAAACCAAGTTGCGTATTTCTATGTCTGTCCAGCTTGCAACATTTTCAGCTAGCGCGGATCAAACCAAACTCGTACCCTGGCATTGCCGCATCGTATGGCCAGATTGTGTGTTGTATATGCAAGCACATTGGCACATAAACAGGAAACTAGCCAGGTCGTATTACAAATAAAGTACGCTTGATAAAGTCAGCCATGGGGTGTCTACATACTGGCGTATTTTTGACAGGGAACCCGTTTGGCAAATAGGCTTTTGCGAGCCGATCGCAGAAAACTATCATCTTAACTCTGTGCACTCTACCAGAATACTATCATCACCATAAGCGAGTTTGCGCCACAGAAATTCAGTAAGTCCCACTGCTCAGCATTAGTCAACTAAAAATGGATGAGGCAATAGTCAGCCTTAGAAATGGCTGCGAAGTGACATCGGTGGGCCGAAGACTCCGAGCTCGTACAACGAGAAAAAAAACTGACCAGCGGAAAAGGCAGTGAATTGCCTTGTGGGCATTGTTGGTTCACTTATTGTGTGATTTGTACCA